AGAAGATTGAAAATAGAAACATAGAAGATTGAAAATAGAAACGATGAGAGTGAAATATATATATAAAAGGAGGTGAGATTTTAGTTAAGATTCTGGATGAACGATTACAACGATGGAATGGTATGAAACTTGGAGGGTTGATTACGAGAACCACAAATTAAGACATGACGAAAATATCAGAAATGTAGATATAGACGAATTGAGAGGAGAAAATATAACATGTGAAATATGTTATCCAATAAGAGATACACCAGAAGTTTTTAAGAAATTTTGGAGAATATTACAAAAATTTGAATATACAATAAGGGATTATAATGCAGAAACTATAAGGGCGCTAATAAATTTATTAAGTATAAATAGTGAAGAAAGAAATAATTATACGAAAGGAAAAACTAGAGATGCATTAGATATAATAGTTGAATCGATAAGATACTTGAAACAACCAATAATGAGAGAGAAAGGACTAAAGATAATAATAATAGTGGTTGCGAGAGATTGTATAGAAAACGATAAAGAAGACGAAACAATAGACAGATTAATAGGGAATGAAGAATTAATAAGATATGGTTATATTTTGGAAGATTGGGATGTGAATATAAGATTTAGGGAATTTTATGAATGGCATAAAGTGGCTATATAAGAGTTTATAAAATGGAAAGATAGCGTTATTAGAAAATACAAAGATATATTGTATGAGGAAGCAGAATTAAAAGAAGATGAGTCAACGGAAAAAATAGAAGCGTTCAAACAAAAGATTAGATCAATGTTGAATACAATGTACGTAAAAGGTCGTGGTGGAGGAATCTCGAAAGTAGTAATTGAAAAAGTTTAAGATAAGATTAGGGGGTTTGAGCAATTAAATATAGATGAAACAGATAGTGATGACACACCAAGAAGTTATACTATAACAGAAACAGACGATGGGGAGGAAGAAAATTTACCAATTAGTAAAAATGAAGAAATGTCAGATGAGGAATCTGACGAATCTATTGAATCTAATAATGTTGAAGAAACAGAAACAACAAAGATATTCGAAGAAATAATTAGAATGGATTTGAAAAGAATGGGATATGATGTAGAAATAACGGAAATTGAAAGAATAAGAAAATTTGGAGTAACCACAAAGATAATAACAACATATGAATTTATGAAGAAATATTTAACAATATGGAATCTTGAAGATGAAAAATTAGATGAACAAATATTACAATGGAGAGTTGAAAACACAAAAGAATGCGGAAGATGTGAAATTGAAAGATTAAAGAAAGAATTTGAAATTGGAAAAGAAACCTGCATAGAATGTGAAAAAGATATTGAAAAAGAAAATCCAACAGATGATGAAGATGAAATGGAAGAGGATATAAAA